CTCCAAGTCGAAATCGGCAGAAAGTGAACGGAGGCCTCTGGCGTGTTCGGTGGATACTGAAAGGGACTCGTAATGGCTGGAATAGGGGAGTGCAACAAGCGTCGGTTCAGTCGGTTGAATTCTGACTGAGTTATCACTTGAGCACGTTTAACTCCAGGTCGAAATCCGTAGAAAGTGAACGGAGCACTCTGGCATGTTCGGTGGCTACTGAAAGCGACTCATAATGGCTGGAATAGGGGAGTACAACAAGCCCCATCACAGTCGCTTCAATTCTGACTGAGTTATCGCTTGATCACATTTAATTCCAAATCAAAGTCCGTAGAAAGTGAATGGAGGACCCTGGCGTGTTCGGTGGATACTGAAAGTGACTCAGAGCCAGTGATATACTGGCTCACAGCTTCTCGTATGCCAGTTGCAGAGAACCTGGTAATGCTGAAGCCCAAGGTCTCTATGGATTCTACTCACCCTTTATCAACTACTTACATACTATCAATTACAATACTGTTTTAACCCTCCATGCAAGGTGTAGTCTATTCATCGTCCCCCTATCATTCTCGGATCATGCTCACCAGCCCACCATAGTATGAGTTCAAGTCCGTTATAGAATCGATCTGGACTTTCACCCTTCATCACCCACTTCGCAAACGATTCCACACTGAAGTCCCTTGGTATATCAGGGAACACTCGCCTTGCTTTCTCCATAAGCCTTAGATCACAGTAGATGAACCAGAGAAGGTGGACTGTAAAGTATGCCATGGGGCACTTGTTCTTCTCACCAGCTAAAAACTGTGTGTGGCATTCTGGCTTGAAGTTCTTCGTTTGCGGCATACCACAGGTATAGCAGTACTGATATTTAGCAAAGCCAATCTTCGCCATTTCAGCGCGCAAGTCACTCCAGCCATTTGCATGATCAGATGATCCTTTGGGACCACAGCAGTCCCTAAACCGTCGGTGAGATGGGCCATCTACAACAAGATTACGGCTATATGCCCAGCAGATAGGACACCGCGTAAGAAGTCGCCCAGTTAAAACTCCTAACAAAGCTGCCTTTCTTCGCTTCTCAGCAAATAGCTGTTCTGCATATGCAGCATCCATGACAATTGACATAGATGCAGCTGGACGTGCTGAGCCTGACGGATGGGAAGCTGTTACAGGTGTAGATGGGACAAGCACCCTACCAAAGTGTGGAGGAGTCCCATATGGAGTCCTCTCTTGCCTTGCAATACTGCCAGAAGGAGTAGGACGTGCTGACCCAGAGGGATGTGAAGACGTAACTGGTGTCGAAGGCACCAGAATCCTGCCAAGCTGTAGAGGTGTTCCAGGATGTCCTAATTGCTGCGCATCTCGAATTGCTTGCAGACGCATTGCTGAACCAGAATGCACCACTGGTGTAGATGAGCCAAGTATCCCAGGGGTTGACCGCAAAGGTGTCGGAGTAGGTGGAGCAGATGCTACTAGTGACCCTCGAGTAGCACCAAAGGATGATCCTCGCTGGTGTGCATTTCGCATTGCTTGAATACGCATTGGTGATCCAGAAGAAGATGTGACAGTGCCAGATGGAACAACAGCTGCAGGAGAGCCTGAGATAGATGGATTCTGCACCATGAATGCTTGACCAGGAACCAGTGAAGCAGGTTCCATATCAATGTCCATAAAGGCCTGGTCATCTAAGCTTCCATATAAATCATCAGTAGAACCAGATGCAGGGGCTGAGAAGACATCCTGTTGTGGGTTGACAGCAGGAGTGGCACAAGCAGAGGAACTAGCCATCTTTTCCCCTGGAGACACAGTTTCTGCTTGCAATACTGCAGGAGAAATTAGAGAAGGCTCTGCTGCAGGTATATTGTTTGAGACAGGAATGTCAGGCTGGTCTGCAAGCTCCCTGATCTTGATAAACACAGGGTTTTCGGGATTACACATGTCACAGAGATGAGAGCCAGGCAGATCAGCACAAGTTACAGCTTTTCCATCCATTGGAAGTGAGATCCCAACACGACGACAGCTAGTCCTGTCATTAATCCACTCAGTCATCGGGACTAGGCCATTGAGATCATCCTTTTGCCTCCTTGGATCAGCATAATGGACAGTGCGATCAATGAACTGGAAGCTGAATGAAGGGGTGCCATCACGTCCAGCACGCCCATCAGCCTGGGTCTTCGGGGTGAGGCCAAAGAGGATGTTATCATACATAACTACCTTCACCCTGGGACAATCTATCCCATGGATTAAGGTTGTTGTTGCTACGATCCAAGGCATAGTGCCCTTGAACCATGCTTCTTCATTCAAGAACCGTTGCATGTCAGACAAGGATGTCTTATCGCTGTGAGAAATACAGTTGTTGAAGTGGCGTCCCAGTTCTTTGGCACGTTCCACAGAGGGGCAGAAAATGATACCCCTGCACTTGTCATCCCAGTAGTTGGCTTGCATGTACGCAGCAACATCCACAATGAGCCGAGCCTGGCTACGGACACGGGGGTTGACTGCGAAGAGACTGTATGACAAGTTTGCACGATACGTTGGAGCACGGAGAATGGGTGTAGAGTTGGGCAGAGCTGCAATTTCCAAGTAGCGCTTCTCCATATATGCAGGGATTGTTGCACTGAGGTGGATCTTCTGCACAGGATATGCTGCAAGTTCACTCAGCCTCAGAAAGTTGCTACGGAAGTTAGAGTCTGTTATGAGTTGATGGGCTTCATCCAGTACAATCCGAGTGATGGAGCTCTCCATTTGCCGGTAATAGCTAACAATACTTAGTTGTGTTACACCACATACAACAGAAGCAGGCTTACTTTTTAAATTTCTCAGACACTGCAGTCTCCAGTGCAACATAAATCACTTGACAGTCACATTGGATT